CCCCCCCCCCCCCCCCCCCCCCAAACCCAAGCGGGACACAGATTAGGGGTCCACGACCACGACCACGGTATGAAGGTAAAGGAGGAAGGACCAGGACCATCCCCCCCAAACATAGGTAAGAGACAAACTAAAAAACACAGCTAACAACTACACAATGAAACATGATTTAATGGACAAAGAAGCCACGGCCAACCCTACTCCTAACATGTAACAGCAGAGAACTATGGCTGAACAAAAAACCACGAGGCCCAGAAGCCGAGGAGCAAAGGCTAGCAAAAATGAAAGCACCACCTCAGGTGCGTCTGGACTTGCTGCTGCCACGTGGAGATGCTGGGGATGGGGTATCCTTTTTGGAATCTCCTAAGAAGTTGTGGAAGCCCTGCTAGGGCAGGCTGAGGCACGATGAGACCAAGAACAGCTTGAACAGCGATGCGAAAAACGCATTGGGCATAAGGGGCAGAAAAAACGACCCCTATTCCACGATTTGCAGACAATTTGCGAACTAGTAGCGCCAGCAGGCTCAGCCGATTCATTCGCAAATTCGCCACGCCCACGAGTAGAGGCGCCCGCAGGGTGGAAATTGAAGAGCTGCACGTTCATGTTGGACCAATCGGTCAGATTGGTCGCCGCCGCATGCTCGCGAAAGGCCCGATCATATGCCTCGATTGCTGAACTGCTGATATGTACGAAGAATCAGCAGCTTATATTGACTTAAATCTCTCCACCGATGCGGAAAGTGGGAAGTCAGCACGAGGGAATAAACGGAGAAAGCCTCCATCCAAGTCGCGATGTCCTCGATACGTCGTTTGGCTTTCTTGGGGGTGGACGTGAACACTAAGCGGCCATCGAATAGAAATTGTGGCTCAGGTTCGCTAAGCACAATGTTCGAAGATAGGATAAGATAGGTCGGTGAGCTCCACGAACTTTCCTGCCACGATCTGGCCGACCAGCTTTGCGGGAATTGGTGAGAATCCCGGCCCAACCACAAAGGGCTGATGCAGAAACGGCGCCGAGGCAGAGGGAAAAACGCTATTTATAGCGAGGCCAGCCTGAGACGCAATTGGTGAGGCAGTGATTGCGCAAGACGACACGAGCGATGGATTCGGGGGCGCAAAAGTGCGAACAAACGACGGTACAACAAGGGCAGGCCTACCTTGAGAAGAAGATACCTAGCCCAAGGAAGAATGCGAGGAAAATCCAGGCCCAGCGGTCCACAAAGCCGAGGCCTTGAGAACTTAAATCCTAGCCGGGAACGCCCCCAAGCATGGCCGACGAGGAACTCTCAGTCGCCTGGTCAAGAACACTGGAATTCCCGAACGGATCCGGGCGAGAAACGGACGCTTGCTCCGCGGCCAACGAAGCTTTGACAGCTTGAACCACAGCAGCAAGGAATTCAGGAGACGGCTGAGCAGCGTACCTGCAACAGCGGTTGATGCGTTGAGCGTGGAACCAGCTACGGGTTGCGAAGAGCTAACAGGAGGATGCGATGAAATCGCCGATGCGGACGAACTATCCGTTGCACTGGTGGCGAAAAAGGCAGCATCTTGACTGTTACGAGTGCTTCAAGAGCTTCGAGAGCTAGACTTATCTTGCAATTAAAGGCCAGAATCCGCAACGATTCGCTAAGCAACAGATCAGCAAAGATCAGCTCAAAAATGCCAGCGTGAGATGCAACGTAAGTCACAAGACAAGGAAAAGGCCCCTGCGGACACCCCTCAGATCACGTACGCTTGAGGAGGAGACCGCTGACCGCATTGGCTTGCAATTTAACTTTGCCTAAATTACATTTAGCCACATAGAATGAGGGCTTTGCAGTTTCATAAGCAATTTCATTAACTCGTGGATCCGCGCATGCGCAGGAATGACTTAGTGTGGAGGGGATTAAGTGAAGGGGAAAGCTGAACGAATAACCATCCAGCCATCTGTTAGCAATTATTAATATTTTGTCGGGATCTATAAAATCGAATGTTATTCGGAGAGAACGAGGAGGAATGGGGCAATGGAGGAATTTTGCAGAATTTTTGAAAATGCATGCGCCAAAATAATCGATATTTCGTATTTTCTTCCCAAACTGTTTTTTGCTGGCGATTAAATTACTCAACAGTCAGCCCTTGCTGGATTTTATGTGTTTCTTTCTTCAGTTTTCACCCTTTGGAATAACGGAAATGTCGTTGATAGTCTATCGCAAATGTTCCGGCGTTTGAATTAACTTTCACTACTTATCTTTCTGCTCTTTTTCGTCCCTTCAATTTTTTCCGCTAGCTTGATCTTTCTTGGCGCCTTAACTGAATTTGCGCCATAGATTCGAAAAGTCTACTTTAACTGGACGAGATTGTCGTTTGGTTAGTCACTATCATCAGTTGTCTTATATATAGGCAGAAAAAGTTAAACAATTGAAAGTTAATTGTGTCATAGACTACGAGCAGGCTTAGGCGTACTTGTGCGATTTCGGGAAGCTGGTTATTGATTTTTGAGTTTCGCCCCTTTCGAGTAAAAAATTTGAAGATACTGCTAGAAAGGAACACCCGCCTGGTACTACTAAATTAAGCAAAGCTTTTAACACTATATTGTGAAATTTGTGAAAGAAATGATAATTTAGTACGAGAAAATTAAATAAAATATGTTTATCACAAAACAATTGGTTTGAAAGGGAATAAAGCGTAGTGATCGGCCTATCCGAAACCTTCTCAGTAAATCGTCAAATTTTGAATACAATATAAAAGAAATAATACTGAATAAAGTTTTTGAAAATAGAGTTAAACGGTAACTCTTTTCGTATTTAACAATGTAAAAAAAATTGCTTTCATGATCAATTGAGGCCCTATACGATCTTTACGACTTCCTTAAACACACTCTTGCCTATCCCAAAGTATCAAAAATCGATTAGCTACGTACAGCTTTTAAAATTCAAATTCCTTGACAATAATTCTGTAAGTACAAATTAATATTTTCAGTTATGTACATTTAACCTACAATAAAGAGTGTTGATTAGAAGCCACTACTATCCTGATGTTGAAAAAGCGAAAAAAAAAATTAACAAAGTTATTAATTAAAATTCAATTAAAAAGACTGACACCTTAAACATGGTGAAATTGTGCAATGAACTTATATTATTAAATATTCGTAGATATATATAGGGGCACCACTCACCAAGTGATTTAGCACACCATCCACTCGATATGCTTTACAGTTAATCCAAACTTCTTCTTCATTTTCTTCGTTCGACTTT